GTGTGTGTGTGTGTGTGTGTGTGTGTGTGTGTATGCGTGCGCGCGCGCGCGTGCCAAAGACTAAAGAGAGCCAGAGACAAAGGCAGATAGTGCATCAGATACTGCTACAGCCTGGATCTGTGAGTGTCTGAGAGGGCAAGACTTTATGTGTGTCTTTTGTGAATGTGTGATTTTGTGCTCACACAGAGCAGCTGTGTGTCCCTGTGATCGTGCATGTGTGAGCCCTTTTGCATATGTGTCACTGCTTTGTGGTGTGTGTGTGTGTGTTCCTGCTTGTGCCTCCGACTGGACTCCTACCAGGACTCCTTGAAATAGTTCACTGTAGGGCTGACCTGGCAGGGCCACCTCTAGTGGCTGTGCCTGGGGGTAGCCCGAAGGAAAGGAAAAAAAGAAGGGGTCTCCAGTGTCTTTCTGTGCAGGCTCTTTGTCTCTGGGACCCCGGCCTTCTACTCCCTGCAAGGTTTACAGATTAGCTCAAGTCAGCGCACAAGTAGGGCGGCCTGAGGGCTTTGACAAGGGACCTGGAACTGCCAGGACTTGCCAGGCTGGCCCCTCCCCTCTTATATTCTTCCGGAAGCTCCTCCCTAGATAGGGAATCTCCACCATCTTGGACAGAGGTGTTCTGAATCCCTCCACAGCATTTTCTTAAATCCCTCCCAGAGTTCAGGAAATCCCTCAACCCAGCCCAGCCCTGGCCCTCTTAAAGGGATCAAGTCTCCTCTTCCCCCAGCCACTATGAGGAACAACCTCCCTACAGAGCCTTTCCCCAAACAGACCCTCTCAGGCAGGCAAGACTCTCAAAGACAGGGCAGAGACCCCCGGCCCCCCTCCATCTCAAGCACAGGGATCCTTTCTTCTAAAAAGCTCTGAAATAGAATTGAACTCCCATCCCAAGATTAGCCCTGTCTAGACAGACCTCTCTCCCCAATGCCCCACTCCCAGAAGCTGCAGAGAGATTCTTGCCTCTATCTATAGGTTCCTGTAGACAAAGATCTCCACCCACTAACCCCATCCCCTCACCTTTGTTTCTGGTGCAAGTCTTTTGATCCACTGGGACCATCTGGACAGAGACTTTGTAGGGTCCCTTCGTGCCTGTTCAGCCCTCCTCCCCAACGTCCAGACCTCGAGACGACTGTCAATGCCTTCCTTGACAGGTGAACCAGTGACTCAAGTTGGTTGATCCTTGTTGATTCAGGTGTGGGTTTTATGAGGACCCAGGTGCTTGCTCTCTTATTTTCCTGATGATTATAGTTGTCGACAACAAGGCAGGCTGATACTCTTTCATCAGAGTGAGGGTGAGAAAGAGGGTCATTCATTCATTCATTTGTTCATTCACCAAACCTTCTCAGAGCCCTTTTTATGCAGAGGACTCCTCTGGCTGTGGGAGGACACCAAGAGGACCCAAGCATGGCCATTCCTATGCTCCTCACCCCCACCACGTCTTGTTCTTCCACCCCCCTCCCCTGCTCCATTCTTGGCTGGTGTTTGGTCATCTCACTGTTCAGAGAGAGAAAACGCAAAAGCAGATTGTAGCCTCCCTGGATGCCAGCAGTTGGGGGGCAGGGGGGCTCCTCTGTTTGCTCCTTTGCTTTTTACAAGAAATGCTGCTTCCCAGGCAGAAAGTGGCAAGTTTCCAAAAGCAGCCCCGCCCTATGGTGGAAAGTCCTGCCCATAACGTGCTGTGTAACACTGGGCCGGTTCCTTCACTTCTCTTTGCTTCCATTTCTTCATCCATAAGATGGGAGAACAGTAACAGCCTTGTCCAGTTATTGAGAGAATGCAATGTCATATATAAAAGGCCTACTTCGTACCTGATATACGATAGCAGTTAGTGTTGTTTATTACTGCATCTGATGGCCATTTGTCATTTTGGGGGGCAAAGTGCCTTTCCCAGAAAAGGCCTGTGAGTTGGTCAGAGCGTTGGGGTGAGTTGAATGTAAGTTCTCTGCCCTTACCTCACCTCATTGTCCTCCACCCCTATCCAGCTCACCTGCAGGGAAGGGAACGGAGATCAGGAGGACAGGGGGCAGAGAGCCCCGGGAAGCAGACAAGAGGACATACCTAGCTTCTGCCTGCCCTTCATCCTTCAGCCCCCTTTACCCCGGAAGGAGAAGCCACCAACCTCTAGATTCTCTTGCATGGCTCCTCTAAGGGTCCCTCGATGAGAGGACATTACTGCAGCCTGCTTTCCCCCCGCCCCCCCAAGCCCAGCTGACAGCCGCAGGAAGATGTGGGTCAACCCACAGATTGAGCACCTGGTCAGATTCACACAGATGGACAGAGCAACACATCCAGGTCGAGGACGGGCTGGCCCACAGACACATCCTCCAGCTTATTCGGAGACTGCCATATGCACAAAGAAACCAGGACAGACTCCCAGAGATGCACTCACCTGGGCAGAGTCATTGGACTAAGAGGCTTAGACACCGAGGAGCAAAGACAGGCACACACAGAGACAGTCAGATACGCAGTGACGACAGCCAGGCACAAGGACACATACACTGAGACTCCCTTGAAGACCAACAGCCTGTGCCCTACAAATGCATCAGTGCCCCTCCGCCCCCTCCGTGACCACTGAAGGGGAAAGGAGGAGAGAACAAAGGGAGGGAGAGGGGGCAGAAGCAACACAGCTGGAGGGAGACAGAGAGGGGCATTCCGGGCGGAGGAACAAGCCAGTGGGGCCAGAGAGGCAGAGGTCCCACAGCCTTCCTCTTTGCCAGTGGGGATGGAAGCTTGGGGGTGGGGGGCATGGTGTGGCACAGGAGGAGGAAGTACGTGCTTAACCTGGGAGTGGGCAGAGGAGCTGCCCTCCTACGGCCACCCAAGGACCCACTAGTCTTGGGGGGACCCAGGGCTTCAGAAGAATCAGAGCCCATAGCTCAGACACCTGGAACCTGGGCCCAGCTGAAATGCACACCCCCTCCCTCCCTCCAGACTAAGGCTAGTTTCTGTGTCTCTGATGCCATCGGAACCTAGGGGGTGAACTGCCTGGCTAAACAATTTGGACACCATTTTGTGGGTAGGAAGGCGGAATGAATAGGGTTAAATAGAACTGGGCTTATCTCCCAGAGCAGGCAGCAGCATTGGGTCGGGGGTGGGGAGGTCCTTGAATTAATGGCCTGGAAAGCCATTATCATGAGCATCATTTTGGGGCTGGATGATCACAGACAGACCCTTTCCCCTCCTCCCCACATCCTGAGCTCTGGCTTGGAGCCCTCTAGGGGAAGAGCTTCATCCAGACTTCTGCTTTCTAGTCCTATTGATACCTAGGGTCAGGTGAGAGATCTGTCTTTGACATCTCATGAGTCATAACAAATATTATCCACACGATTATAGTGAACATGAACATGGAATGCATGTTTCTTCTATACCAGGTTTCAAGCTAAGCGCCTTAGAAGTGTCCTCTCACTGAAGTCTGACCACATCCACTGGTTGGGCTTGGTTTTGTGTCCATGTTGAAGATGAGGACCATGGGGTATGCAGGGTAATTGGCCCAAAGTCTAAAAGCTAGGTTGTCAGATGCCAGCGGAGGTCCAGGATTCCAGCCAGACTTTCTGATCCCAGAGCTGGCCTTAGAACTTTAGCACTCTGGGTGAGTCTGCCAGGAAGGACCAGGCTGGTGTGTGTGTGTGTGTGTGTGTGTGTGTGTGTGTGTCTACTCTGAGCTACCTTCATCCTCCCAACTACAGGAAGGCAGGG